TTCCCTACAGAAGAGAAAGATATTGCAATGTGGCAACTGGATGAAGTCAAAGATCATTCCGCATCTACATATTTTCATACAGAAAGCATATTATCTTCTTTAAATAATTAATATAAAACACAGGTGAGTGAACACATTACTGATGCATTATCTGTATATATCTGTCCTGGATCTATACAGGTAAATGAATATAAAACAATGTCTTTTTTTAAAAAAACAGACTTGGGTTATTAGAAAATCAGTAAGACATCAAAAAAGGTTAAAAAGTATTTCTGGAAAATATTTCTCCTGATTCTTTCAGTTCAGATTTGTAATGCTGAATATAAAAGCTGCATTGCACTGTTTCCTGAGCACCCAAAAGAGAGCACTGCTGCCACCTACCCAGCATCAACACTGAAAATTGAAAACACACTGCCACGCTTCAGAAGGCAATTTCAATCATGTCTTGGAAAATGGTAATCTAATAGCCATTATACTTCTGGCTACTTAAGAATTGAAGCATGTGGGCATAAAAGTTTCGTTATAATAGGTGGTACTTCACTGACTCAGAAAGCATATCCTACTTCAGCTACTTGTAGAAATACGACCTTAGAAATCTGTAGTAGTGAAATTCACATCAGCACTTATTTACAGTAACCATTTTGTCTGATTTTCATCCTCAATTCCCAGGTTGGAACGAGTGAATAATTAGCTTTAGAGGAGGTTATGGGGGAGAGATGACTGCACAGCAGATAGCTGCCACACACCGAGAGCAACTCAAGAAAAGAAAAACAAAAGCTAGACATAAGTGGAAATACAGCAACATGCAAGGGAAATTCTTGTTTTCATACACACATATATCCTCAAAGATAAAATGTGGGGGAAGAATGGTATAATGAAATTTTTCTGCAATGGTTCCAATCAAGCAAAAAAATGAAAATGAGAAAGGTATAATTTGAAATTATCTGAATACTAAAGTAATTGAATAATAAAATATTTTTTTAAAAAGGAAGTTCTTAATGAGCACTGCTGTGTGTTTTGAAAGAATCTGAACAATGACCTTGAAAGGCAGAAAGCCGATGAAGTGTGTTAATGCCCGCAGGAAATGCTAGCCATTGTTTAATCAACAAGCCTGGACAACTTTATCCACAGGAGTAATAAAAAGAGGTGGCAGAGATCCCAGGAGCTGTGGTATTCAGCTTTAGTAAATTTTGAAAGACTGCAAAAATGTTAATTGTGTGTCAATTAACATCTGCAAGCAGGGCTTCTGGACAGCTTCAGGCCACTTCACAAAAAATCAGTCTTGTGTAAAATAATGGAAAAACTGAAATTCACACATTCTAAGCATTTGATAAAGAATTAAGACATAGGAATGTAATGAATACCAGTCAATAAAATTTGATGTCTTTGAACATGTAATATTCTTGGAGTGTTGTAGGGCATTGTATTTAGTACTATGTAATCTTCTGCAACAGCAATCCCTATGTTGAGGGAAGACACATTTAACAGGTTAAGAGCCTGATTATCGACCCATTTCTAACAACCATTCAACAGGCTGTCTTCATCTCATGGGGCAGTTTTAAATCTCTCTGCAAACCTGAAACTATTTTATCGCATTCAATGTCTTCATTAGTGATCTGGAATTAAGAAACTGAATTAAGAATCTGAAACTGAATTAAGAATCTAAAAACTTTCAGAGAACTGAAAAACTTAGGGCAGGGTGGGGTTGGTGGGGAAAGATAAACTATGAGGATGTGGAAGTCACCAAGAGCAGCCTCACTTGTTTAGCATGTTGACACCATTCAGGAAAACAACAGTTCAAGAAATTTAACAAAAGCTGTCAATTTGTGATGAAGTAAGGGTTGTGGAGTTACCTCAAATCATCTTCTTGTAAGCAGTAACCTCTACTTTTGTGCAAACTTCTGAAGCTCTCAACACTCATACACAATTTCTTGGTTGTCTCTAAAGATCTGTACCAGTCCCATACTATTAATCTAAATGGTATTGTACTTCAACAAGAATGTGAAGAATTTAATTATTAGATTGCTCCTTTTTTTTTTTTTTTTTAAATTATTGCATGTATGTGCAAAGGCACACAGATTTCACCAATGTTACTGAGGTTTTCATCCTATTATTTATCTGTTATATTGATGATAACAACTTGCCAGAAGGACCTTATAGCCTGTAAACCTCTTTAAGCAATAAAGACTGAACCTATGGAATACAAGACATTCAAGGAAAGCTCATTTTCCCTAGCATCCAGGATAGGGCTTCCTATACAGAAACACATTACTGACAATAAAGATAATTACATCCTCAGCAGCCTGGGAGAAACCTTGATGCTCTGAAATCAAGTGTCTGTGTTGCTTTCTGGCTCTTGTTAGTAAGCAAAGACTCCTGAAAGTTCAGTCAACAGGGAAGTAAGATGGTTATGTTTCAAGCTTGAGGAAAAGGATGGCGGCTGAGGGGCCACTATCAGTTGCAGTACTTTTGAACCATCCCACAGGAGATTTAACAATCTTGGTCTTTCCCTCCACAGGTCAGTAATGAGTAAAACGGCAATTCCAGCAGAAACATGTTTAGCTTTGCAGGCAGGAGAACGCCACTTTTTAACTCTCTGTTGCAGCCCCTGGATTGACTAAGAAGCTGCACTAGGAACATTCAAAGACATGTCTGAGCATCAAGCCTGAAGGTGAGTGTGCTGGATGTAGTGCATATTGTCTAGTGAGAGGCAAAAAGTAAAACAAATGGGAAGACAGCTAAACACATCACAGATTTTAGTTTTCAAAGTTGTATGTGTTACGAACAGGAACAGGTATCCTGAACGCATCTCATGACCCAAATGAGAAGCCTGCCTGTAAATATCAAAAAACAATTTTAGGCTCCACTCCACATATCAGAGACTAGCAATAATCACCCATGTCAAATCCAACTCTTACTGATCACAAAAGACTCTTTTCACAGCATTAGCCAATTCTGTCTGGCATGTGTGCTGGCACACACCCTAGCAGAAAGTCTCCCCACAAAATGCTCAGGCTGGGTGACCATAGCACCAAAGAATGGCTTCATCCAGCAAGCAAGAGCATGTGGACGGACTCTACCGAGCCAAAAACTAGAGCTGGTCCAGAGGGCGAAGCAAGAGAGCTAGGGACAGAGACTATGCTGACCCAACCAGCCTCACTAGACTTCTCTAGGTTCCTCCTAAGACTCCCTGACTGGAAGAAGAGAGCATGTAGAACTTAATTTAAAAAGAAAACTAACAAACAAAAAAGCCACAAACAAAAACCAACAAACAAACAAATATGAAGAATTGTTCCAGCTGCAGCAAT